AATTTATACAAAATATTTTTTTGGCTCGAAACTACCTAAAAAGCTTGAAAATACGTCCGCAACACCATTTGTCAAGTTTCCGACGAATTTGAGGCCCGTAACTCTCAAAAAAGAACCTTGTCATTTTCCAAAAAATCCATGACCCCGGATATGCAAAAAAAACTCGAAAATGATAAATTTAAAAAAAAAATTTTTTTGGCTGGAAACAACCTTAAAAGCTTTAAAGTAGGTCCGCAACAGCATTTGTGGAGTTTCTGATGAATTTGAGGCCCGTAACTCTCAAAAAAGAACCTTGTCATTTTTCAAAAAATCCATGACCCCGGATATGCAAAAAAACTCAAAATTTAGAAAATTATACAAAAATTTTTTTTGGCTCGAAACAACCTTAAAAGCTTTAAAGTAGGTCCGCAACGCCATTTGTCAAGTTTCCGATGAATTTGAGGCCCGTAACTCTCAAAAAAGAACTTTGTCATTTTCCAAAAAATCCATGACCCCGGGTATGCAAAAAAACTCAAAAAATGAGAAAAATATAGAAAATTTTTTTATAGTCGAAACAACCAAAAATGCTTGAAAATACGTCTGCAACACCATTTGTGGAGTTTCTGATGAATTTGAGGCCCGTAACTCTTAAAAAAGAATCTTGTCATTTTTCAAAAAATTCATGACCCCGGATATGCAAAAAAACTCAAAATTTAGAAATTTATACAAAAATTTTTTTTGGCTCGAAACAACCTTAAAAGCTTTAAAGTGGGTTTGCAACACCATTTGTGAAGTTTCCGATGAATTTGAGGCCTGTAACTCTCAAAAAAGAACCTTGTCATTTTCCAAAAAATCCATGACCCCGGGTATGCAAAAAAACTCAAAAAATGAGAAAAATATAGAAAATTTTTTTTAAAGTCGAAACAACCTAAAAAGCTTGAAAATACGTCCGCAACACCATTTGTGGAGTTTCTGATAAATTTGAGGCCCGTAACTCTTAAAAAAGAACTTAGTTATTTTTAAAAAAATCCATGACCCCGGATATGCGAAAAAACTCAAAATTTAGAAATTTATACAAAATATTTTTTTGGCTCGAAACTACCTAAAAAGCTTGAAAATACATACGCAACACTATTTGTTAAGTTTCCGATGAATTTGAGGCCCGTAACTCTCAAAAAAGAACTTAGTCATTTTTCAAAAAATCCATGACCCCGGATATGCAAAAAAACTCAAAATTTAGAAATTTATACAAAATATTTGTTTGGCTCGAAACAACCTAAAAAGCTTGAAAATACATACGCAACACTATTTGTTAAGTTTCCGATGAATTTGAGGCCCGTAACTCTCAAAAAAGAACTTAGTCATTTTTCAAAAAATCCATGACCCCGGATATGCAAAAAAACTCAAAATTTAGAAATTTATACAAAAATTTTCTTTGGCTCCAAACAACCTTAAAAGCTTTAAAGTAGGTCCGCAACACGATTTGTCAAGTTTCTGATGAATTTGAGGCCTGTAACTCTCAAAAAAGAACCTTGTCATTTTTCAAAAAATCCATGACCCCGGGTATGCAAAAAAACTCAAAAAATGAGAAAAATATAGAAAAATTTTTTTATAGTTGAAACAACCAAAAAAGCTTGAAAATACGTCTGCAACACCATTTGTGGAGTTTCCCATGAATTTCAGGCCCGTAACTCTAAAAAAAGAACTTGGTCATTTCTCAAAAAATCCATGACCCCGGATATGCAAAAAAAACTCAAAAATGATAAATTTAAAAAAAAAATTTTTTGGCTGGAAACAACCTAAAAAGTTGAAAATACGTCTGCAACACCATTTGTCAAGTTTCCCATGAATTTGAGGCCCGTAACTCCAAAAAAGAGCCTAGTCATTTTTCAAAAAGTCCATGACCCCGGGTATGCAAAAAAACTCAAAAAATGAGAAAAATATAGAAAAATATTTTTATAGTCGAAATAACCTAAAAAGCTTGAAAATACGTCCGCAACACCATTTGTGGAGTTTCTGATGAATTTGAGGCCCGTAACTCTGAAAAAAGAACCTTGTCATTTTTCAAAAAATCCATGACCCCGGGATATGCAAAAAAACTCAAAATTTAGAAATTTATACAAAATTTTTTTTTGGCTCGAAACAACCTTAAAAGCTTTAAAGTAGGTCCGCAAGACCATTTGTCAAGTTTCCGATGAATTTGAGGCCCGTAACTCTCAAAAAAGAACCTTGTCATTTTTCAAAAAATCCATGACCCCGGGTATGCAAAAAAACTCAAAAAATGAGAAAAATATAGAAAAAATTTTTTATAGTCGAAACAACCTTAAAAAGCTTTAATATAGGTCCGCAACACCATTTGTGGAGTTTCCAAAGAATTTGAGGCCCGTAACTCTAAAAAAAGAACTTGGTCATTTTTCAAAAAATCCATGACCCCGGGTATGCAAAAAAACTCAAAAAATGAGAAAAATATAGAAAAATATTTTTATAGTCGAAACAACCTAAAAAGCTTGAAAATACGTCCGCAACACCATTTGTGGAGTTTCCGATGAATTTCAGGCCTGTAACTCTAAAAAAAGAACTTGTCATTTTCAAAAATCCATGACCCGGATATGCAAAAAAACTCAAAATGATAAATTTAAAAAAAAATTTTTTTTGGCTGGAAACAACCTTAAAAGCTTTAAAGTAGGTCCGCAACACGATTTGTCAAGTTTCCGATGAATTTGAGGCCCGTAACTCTCAAAAAAGAACCTTGTCATTTTCAAAAAATCCATGACCCCGGGTATGCAAAAAAACTCAAAAAATGAGAAAAATATAGAAAAATTTTTTTAAAATCGAAACAACCTAAAAGCTTGAAAATACGTCCGCAACACCATTTGTGGAGTTTCTGATGAATTTGAGGCCCGTAACTCTTAAAAAAGAGCCTAGTCATTTTTCAAAAAATCCATGACCCCGGGTCATTTAGACACAAAAATACTCAAAAAATGAGAAAAATATAGAAAAATATTTTTATAGTCGAAACAACCTAAAAAGCTTGAAAATACGTCCGCAACACCATTTGTGGAGTTTCTGATGAATTTGAGGCCCGTAACTCTAACAAAGAACTTTGTCATTTCTCAAAAAATCCATGACCCCGGATATGCAAAAAAACTCAAAAATGAAAAATTTAAACAAAATTTTTTTTTGGCTCGAAACAACCTGAAAAGCTTTAAAGTACGTCCGCAAGACCATTTGTCAAGTTTCCGATGAATTTGGGGCCGTAACTCTCAAAAAAGAACCTTGTCATTTTTCAAAAAATCCATGACCCGTATGCAAAAAAACTCAAAAAATGAGAAAAATATAGAAAAATTTTTTATACTCGAAAAACCTAAAAGTTTAACGCCGTAACACCATTTGTCAAGTTTCCAAAGAATTTGAGGCCCGTAACTCCAAAAAAGAGCCTAGTCATTTTTCAAAAAATCCATGACCCCGGGTATGCAAAAAAACTCAAAAAATGAGAAAAATATAGAAAAATATTTTTATAGTCGAAACAACCTAAAAAGCTTGAAAATACGTCCGCAACACCATTTGTGGAGTTTCTGATGAATTTGAGGCCCGTAACTCTTAAAAAAGAACTTGGTCATTTTTCAAAAAATCCATGACCCCAGATATGCAAAAAAACTCAAAATTTAGAAATTTAAACAAAAATTTTTTTTGGCTCGAAACAACCTTAAAAGCTTTAAAGTAGGTCCGCAACACCATTTGTCAAGTTTACGATGAATTTGAGGCCCGTAACTCTCAAAAAAGAACCTTGTCATTTTTCAAAAAATCCATGACCCCGGGTATGAAAAAAAACTCAAAATGAGAAAAATATAGAAAAATTTTTTATAGTCAAACAACCAAAAAGCTTGAAAATACGTCCGCAACACCATTTGTGGAGTTTCCAATGAATTTGAGCCCCTAACTCTAAAAAAGAACTTGGTCATTTCGCAAAAAATCCATGACCCCGATATGCAAAAAAAACTCAAAAATGAAAAATTTAAACAAAATTTTTTTGGCTCGAAACAACCTGAAAGCTTGAAAATAGTCCGCAACACCATTTGTCAAGTTTCCAATGAATTTGAGGCCGTAACTCTCAAAAAAAACCTTGTCATTTTCAAAAAATCCATGACCCCGATATGCAAAAATCAAAAAATGAGAAAAATATAGAAAAATTTTTTATAGTCGAAACAACCAAAAAGCTTGAAAATACGTCCGCAACACCATTTGTCTGGAGTTTCTGATGAATTTGAGGCCCGTAACTCTTAAAAAAGAACTTAGTCATTTTTCAAAAAATCCATGACCCCGGATATGCAAAAAAAACTCAAAATTTAGAAATTTATACAAAATATTTTTTTGGCTCAAACAACCTTAAAAGCTTTAAAGTAGGTCCGCAACACCATTTGTCAAGTTTCCAAAGAATTTGAGGCCCGTAACTTCCAAAAAAGAGCCTAGTCATTTTTCAAAAAATCCATGACCCCGGGTATGCAAAAAAACTCAAAAAATGAGAAAAATATAGAAAAATTTTTTTTTATAGTCGAAACAACCAAAAAGCTTGAAAATACGTCCGCAACACCATTTGTGGAGTTTCCAATGAATTTGAGGCCCGTAACTATTAAAAAAGAACTTAGTCCTTTTTCAAAAAATCCATGACCCCGGATATGCAAAAAAACTCAAAATTTAGAAATTTATACAAAATATTTTTTTGGCTCGAAACAACCTAAAAAGCTTGAAAATACGTCCGCAACACCATTTGTCAAGTTTCCGATGAATTTGAGGCCCGTAACTCTCAAAAAAGAGCCTAGTCATTTTTAAAAAAATCCATGACCCCGGGTATGCAAAAAAACTCAAAAAATGAGAAAAATATAGAAAAAAATTTTTTTATTCGAAACAACCTAAAAAGCTTCAATAAACGTCCGCAACACCATTTGTGGAGTTTCTGATGAATTTGAGGCCCGTAACTCTTAAAAAAGAACTTAGTCATTTTTCAAAAAATCCATGACCCCGGATATCCAAAAAAACTCAAAATTTAGAAATTAATAGAAAATATTTTTTTGGCTCGAAACAACCTGGAAAGCTTGAAAATACGTCCGCAACACCATTTGTCAAGTTTCCAATGAATTTGAGGACCGTAACTCTTAAAAAAGAACTAAGTCATTTTTCAAAAAATCCATGACCCCGGGTATGCAAAAAAACTCAAAAAATGAGAAAAATATAGAAATTTTTTTTTAAAGTCGAAACAACCTAAAAAGCTTCAATATACGTCCGCAACACCATTTGTGGAGTTTCTGATGAATTTGAGGCCCGTAGCTCTTAAAAAAGAACTAAGTCATTTTTCAAAAAATCCATGACCCCGGATATGCAAAAAAAATTAAAATTTAGAAATTTATACAAAATATTTTTTTTGGCTCGAAACAACCTAAAAAGCTTGAAAATACGTCCGCAACACAATTTGTCAAGTTTCCAATGAATTTGAGGACCGTAACTCTCAAAAAAGAACCTTGTCATTTTTCAAAAAATCCATGACCCCGGGTATGCAAAAAAACTCAAAAAATGAGAAAAATATAGAAAAATTTTTTTATACTCGAAACAACGTAAAAGTTTGAAAATACATCGGCAACACCATTTGTGTAGTTTCTGATGAATTTGAGGCCCGTAACTCTTAAAAAAGAACCTTGTCATTTTTCAAAAAATCCATGACCCCGGATATGCAAAAAAACTCAAAAAATGAGAAGAAAATAGAAAATTTTTTTTATAGTCGAAACAACCTAAGAAGCTGCAATATACGTCCGCAACACCATTTGTGGAGTTTCTGATGAGTTTGAGGCCCGTAACTCTAAAAAAAGAACTTAGTCATTACACAAAAAATCCATGACCCCGGATATGCAAAAAAACTCAAAATTTAGAAATTTATACAAAATATTTGTTTGGCTCGAAACAACCTAAAAAGCTTGAAAATACATACGCAACACTATTTGTTAAGTTTCCGATGAATTTGAGGCCCGTAACTCTCAAAAAAGAACTTAGTCATTTTTCAAAAAATCCATGACCCCGGATATGCAAAAAAACTCAAAATTTAGAAATTTATACAAAAATTTTCTTTGGCTCGAAACAACCTTAAAAGCTTTAAAGTAGGTCCGCAACACGATTTGTCAAGTTTCCGATGAATTTGAGGCCTGTAACTCTCAAAAAAGAACCTTGTCATTTTTCAAAAAATCCATGACCCCGGGTATGCAAAAAAACTCAAAAAATGAGAAAAATATAGAAAAATATTTTTATAGTCGAAACAACCTAAAAAGCTTGAAAATACGTCCGCAACACCATTTGTGGAGTTTCCAATGAATTTGAGCCCCGTAACTCTTAAAAAAGAACTTGGTCATTTTTCAAAAAATCCATGACCTCAGATATGCAAAAAAAACTCAAAAATGAAAAATTTAAACAAAAATTTTTTTTGGCTCGAAACAACCTGAAAAGCTTTAAAGTACGTCCGCAAGACCGTTTGTCAAGTTTACGATGAATTTGAGGCCCGTAATTCTCAAAAAAGAACCTTGTCATTTTTCAAAAAATCCATGACCCCGGGTATGAAAAAAAACTCAGATAATGAGAAAAATATAGAAAAAAATTTTTATAGTCGAAACAACCCTAAAAAATTTGAAAATACATCCGCAACACCATTTGTGGAGCTTCTGATAAATTTGAGGCCCGTAACTCTTAAAAAAGAACCTTGTCATTTTTCAAAAAATCCATGACCCCGGATATGCAAAAAAACTCAAAATTTAGAAATTAATACAAAATATTTGTTTGGCTCGAAACAACCTGGAAAGCTTGAAAATACGTCCGCAACACCATTTGTCAAGTTTCCAATGAATTTGAGGACCGTAACTCTCAAAAAAGAACCTTGTCATTTTTCAAAAAATCCATGACCCCAGATATGCAAAAAAACTCAAAAAAAGAGAAAAATATAGAAAAAATTTTTTATAGTCGAAACAACCTAAAAAGCTTGAAAATACGTCCGCAACACCATTTGTCTAGTTTCTGATGAATTTGAGGCCCGTAACTCTTAAAAAAGAACTAAGTCATTTTGCAAAAAATCCATGACCCCGGATATGCAAAAAACTCAAAATTTAGAAATTTATACAAAATATTTCTTTTGAATCGAAACAACCTTAAAAGCTTTAAAGTAGGTCCGCAACACCATTTGTCAAGTTTCCAAAGAATTTGAGGCCCGTAACTTCCAAAAAAGAGCCTAGTCATTTTTCAAAAAATCCATGACCCAGGGTATGCAAAAAAACTCAAAAAATGAGAAAAATATAGAAAAATATCAAATAGTCGAAAATATTTTATAGTCGAGACAACCTAAAAAGCTTGAAAATACGTCCGCAACACCATTTGTGGAGTTTCCAATGAATTTGAGGCCCGTAACTATTAAAAAAGAATTTGGTCATTTTTCAAAAAATCCATGACCCCGGGTATGCAAAAAAACTCAAAAAATGAGAAAAATATAGAAAAATTTTTTTATACTCGAAACAACTTAAAAATCTTGAAAATACGTCCGCAACACCATTTGTCAAGTTTCCAATGAATTTGAGGACTATAACTCTAAAAAAAGAACTTTGTCATTTCGCAAAAAATCCATGACCCCGGGTATGCAAAAAAACTCAAAAATGAAAAATTTAAACAAAATTTTTTTTTGGCTCGAAACAACCTGAAAAGCTTTAAAGTTTGTCCGCAAGACCATTTGTCAAGTTTCCGATGAATTTGGGGACCGTAACTCTCAAAAAAGAACCTTGTCATTTTTCAAAAAATCCATGATCCCAGATATGCAAAAAAACTCAAAAAATGAGAAAAATATAGAAAAAATTTTTTATAGTCGAAACAACCTTAAAAGCTTTAACGTAGGTCCGTAACACCATTTGTCAAGTTTCCAAAGAATTTGAGGCCCGTAACTTCCAAAAAAGAGCCTAGTCATTTTTCAAAAAATCCATGACCCCGGGTATGCAAAAAAACTCAAAAAAAGAGAAAAATATAGAAAAATATTTTTATAGTCGAAACAACCTAAAAAGCTTGAAAATACGTCCGCAACACCATTTGTGGAGTTTCCAATGAATTTGAGCCCCGTAACTCTTAAAAAAGAACTTGGTCATTTTTCAAAAAATCCATGACCCCAGATATGCAAAAAAAACTCAAAAATGAAAAATTTAAACAAAAATTTTTTTTGGCTCGAAACAACCTGAAAAGCTTTAAAGTACGTCTGCAAGACCATTTGTCAAGTTTACGATGAATTTGAGGCCCGTAACTCTCAAAAAAGAACCTTGTCATTTTTCAAAAAATCCATGACCCCGGGTATGAAAAAAAACTCAGATAATGAGAAAAATATAGAAAAAAATTTTTATAGTCGAAACAACCCTAAAAAATTTGAAAATACATCCGCAACACCATTTGTGGAGTTTCTGATGAATTTGAGGCCCGTAACTCTTAAAAAAGAACCTTGTCATTTTTCAAAAAATCCATGACCCCGGGTATGCAGAAAAACTCAAAAAATGTGAAAAATATAGAAAAAAATTTTTATACTCGAAACAACGTAAAAGTTTGAAAATACATCCGCAACACCATTTGTGGAGTTTCTGATGAATTTGAGGCCCGTAACTCTTAAAAAAGAACCTTGTCATTTTTCAAAAAATCCATGGCCCCGGATATGCAAAAAAACTCAAAAAATGAGAAGAATATAGAAAATTTTTTTTATAGTCGAAACAACCTAAGAAGCTGCAATATACGTCCGCAACACCATTTGTGGAGTTTCTGATGAGTT